GGCCGATTTTATTTTTTAGCCGGAAATCATCGGTCGTTTCTTAGGTGCAGGGCCTCTTAATATCTGAGAAAGCCATGGTATACATTTGCTTGTAGCTTATAAACAATTAGTTCTGCAGTGAGATATAAAAACATTACTCTTCTCTCTGCTTGTTATAAATTAAATATTTATTAATTAAATGATAGGCATTAGGATCAGAGTTCTTCATGTGATGCTAGTTTTTCATCCAAGCTGGTATTTTCTTCCTCTTTAGCTTCTGGGCCATGTGGAGGATCAACCAAACGTGCTATTGTTTTCAAAGTTTCTCGTGAAATTTGTAATATGTCATGTTTTGTCAAGAATCCTCTGCCTCCAGTGTCCAAATACTGATCAAAAATTCTCCTGGGATCTTTGCTCAGGTCATCCTTGTCATGTTCATGTGCTTTTTCTTCATATTGTTCCCATAATTCAGCAAATGACTCCTTTGTCAATAGCCCTTCATTTTTTTCTTGCATAGTCGCTAGAATGCTGTAACGAAGAATCTCTATGTTCATGTAGCCCATCTCAATGTGTTTGTCACCCTTGTTGTATGTCCAATGTACTCTGAGATCACTGAGGGGTGTGTACTCAAACACTTCTCTGTTGCAGCCCTTGGGTTCAAATGGTGCACCCACTAGGGGTCCAGATGTGAACAGGATAGTGGCTGATATGGTTCTGTTGTAAGATCTGACTTGATGTATGTATTCTGTGTAGATAACAAAATTTAGATGAGAAATACATGGGTACCACTTCTCTTAGCACTTCATGATCATCCTCCAAACGTATTGTATCTACATGTAGATTAGGAAAGGAAACTCAGCTTGAAAGAGGATATTAATTACTTTCAGTTGTTAACATGATGCACAATTTTCTATTAACAAGTATCCTGAAAGAAACTTGTAATATGCATCTCAAGAAAAACCAAAAGGGTCTTAAAAGAAACACGACTGGTCATGTGAGATATGCCGTATTAATACACCACTAAGTTGCAGTGTAGTTCAGAGGGCCAATAAGTAAAATCAAGCAGTCAGATTGCTCAGTTTTGGACTGGGCACTGTCCTGAATGATCCCACACAACCACTCTTCAAGATTTCTAGGTTGTTTGAGGGTTTACTTCTCCGAAAGAACCTGCTTTAAACATAATTTAAAAGATTCCTTTTCTTTTTCTACCAACTCTTTTTCCCTTCTGGTTTGTTAAAACATTAGACATCAGTATACACCTGGTTGGCTCCCAATCAGGATTGTGCACTTCTTTCCACTCTGCAATCACAGCATTTTTCCAAACCATTTTCAGTTTTGTAATAAATTAACAAGGCTTGCTCGGGACATTGGTCCTCACAAACCTCAAGCTCGCTGTGCTCAGTCCATACTTTTTAGACCTGGGGCCGATCAAAAATTTCAAATTCCAAAAAAATCCTGTGATTGTCCCTGTCACTTAAAATCTGGAGTACACCTCCTGGGCTCCTTGCTTGTGTGAATAATCAAGGCTAATTAGTTTGTATAATTATACCTGCTGGAATGTAAATACAGTCTCCTGGCATAAGTGTTGCATAAGTCCATGGTACTTTTGCCACATTGGGGTATTCCAGCAGGTTTATCTTGTTGGGATCAATTTCAGAGAATCCTGATCCTGAATATTCATTCTGCAATTAAAGAAAACAGCATGGTTAACGATGTAGAGAAGCTGAATATCAGCATGCATTCCTATACTCAGCCTTAAAAATGACCAAAACATCATCTCCTTGATAACTTCATTTGTGGACACCTGTCTCATCTCCAGTTGCCCAAATGAAAGAAAGTGAAATTTATTAAATCAGGGAAGAATATAGGAGGTTAACTAATTTGAAGTCTTGCAATGTTAGACCTAGCCATTATGAGAGTTTGCATGTAGTTAAGTACATGAGTACTGGAATGGAAAAGAGTGACTTC